ACCCCTCTACCCCTCTAAATATACCTCTCTACCTCTCTACCCCTCTCCTCTCTACCCCATCTCTATCCCACTACCCTCTACCCTCTACCCCTCTACCTCTCTACCTCTCTACAACCCCTCTACCTCTCTACCTCTCTATAACCTCTCTATCACCTTCTACCATCTCTACCTCTCTACCTCTCTAACCCACTCTAACCTCGCTACCCACACATCATTATTAAGTATAAAACTCTCCCTAAACTAAAATGCGTTAAGCATAACTATTATAAAAAGTTTATTTTTTCAAGTTTTCCCCGTGAAAAAAAAATAAAATACAATAACATTTTAAAATATTTTTTATTGAAATACGACAATTTTTAAAAATATAATTAAAGAATGATTTAAAATAATTTAAAAAAAAATTGAGTAAAACTGCTTAAAAAACAAACATGACTCATGAATTTTTTAGTTATCCATCTAAGGGAATTTTTAAGTGTAACTAATTAATGTAAATTTTTGTGTAACTATTTAATGTATTTTTAAGTGTAACTATTTTAATGTAATTTTTTTAACTGTAACTATTTTAAAGGAATTTTTAACTGTAACTATTTTAAAGGAATTTTTAAGTATAACTATTTTAAAATATTTTGTGTGTATATTTTAATTTTTTTGGTGTAACTATTTTAAAATAATTTTTTTTAGGTTTTAACTATTTTAAAATAATTTTTTATGTGTAACTATTTTAAAATAATTTTTTATGTGTAACTATTTTAAAATAATTTTTTTAAGTTTTAACTATTTTAAAATAATTTTTTATGTGTAACTATTTTAAAATAATTTTTTATGTGTAACTATTTTAAAATAATTTTTTATGTGTAACTATTTTAAAATAATTTTTTATGTGTAACTATTTTAAAATAATTTTCTTTAGTTTTAACTATTTTAAAATAATTTTTTATGTGTAACTATTTTAAAATAATTTTTTATATGTAACTATTTTAAAATAATTTTTTATGTGTAACTATTTTAAAATAATTTTTTATGTGTAACTATTTTTAAAAAATTTTTTTTAGATGTAACTATTTTAAAATAATTTTTTATGTGTAACTATTTTAAAATATTTTTTTATGTGTAACTATTTTAAAATAATTTTTTATGTGTAACTATTTTAAAATAATTTTTTATGTGTAACTATTTTAAAATATTTTTTTTTAGATGTAACTATTTTAAAATATTTTTTATGTGTAACTATTTTAAAATAATTTTTTATGTGTAACTATTTTAAAATAATTTTTTTGTGTAACTATTTTAAAATAATTTTTTTTAGATGTAACTATTTTAAAAATTTTTTATGTGTAAAAATATTTTAAAATAATTTTTTATGTGTAACTATTTTAAAATAATTTTTTGTGTAACTATTTTAAAATAATTTTATTTAGATGTAACTATTTTAAAATAATTTTTTATGTGTAACTATTTTAAAATAATTTTTTTATGTGTAACTATTTTAAAATATTTTTTTATGTGTAACTATTTTAAAATAATTTTTTTGTGTAACTATTTTAAAATAATTTTTTCAGTGTATATTTTAAGGGAATTTTTTAAAATGTATTTTAAAAGAAAATTTTGTAAATAACTTTTAAAAATTCATAATAGAAAATATTTTAAAAGAAATTTTAGCATAACTATTTTAAAAAAAATTTTATTATAATTGGTTTAATGTTTTTTTTTATAATAATTATATTAATTATGTTAGCAGATTTTTCACTAAAACTGTTTTAATAATTTTTTTTTCAATGTAATAATTTAAAAAAAAATTTATTTTCAGTATAACTATTTTAAAAATTATTTCAGGATAACTATTATAAAAATTATTTCAGGATAACTTCTAAAAATTATTTCAGGATAACTATTATAAAAATTATTTCAGTATAACTATTTTAAAAATTATTTCAGTATAACTATTTTAAAAATTATTTCAGTATAACTATTTTAAAAAATATTTCATATA